CAGTAACACGGATTTTCTTGTTATGTGAGAAAGGAAGAGTGTTACTCATTCTGTCCAGTTGAACGGTGTGCTTCATGTCAAAGCTCTCAGACCAGCAGCTGAAGACACCATCGGAGCTGATGGAGAGGTACTGACCTCTCTGGTAAGTCCTGGTTTCTCCTGGGAAACACTCAGAACTGTGATCCTTGTCATCAGAGGGACGGAACAACAGACGAAGAATGTTTTTATGATGGTTCACAGGTACAAATTCAAAAGGTTTGGGAAAGTATCGATTATCCATTTTTTCTTCTGCCATTTTTTTCTTCAACAGAAAGTCCTGTAGCCCATCATGGCACACAGAATTACTGCAGTTTGTGTCAATCTTCATGTAAAGGGCAGCAAGGTCGTCTTCGCTCACAGAACTGCATACTTGCTTCATTGCAGCAACAAATTCCACCATATTCAGTCCCCCGCCTTTAACACTTTCAGATTCTTTAAATATCATCTCAGTCTCTTTAAAATGTATATCTGTAAACAGTTTGTCTGTGCTTGTAACTTCATCTGGCATCATATCTGTGTGTATATTCATTATTGCTTCCATTAAGGCAAATAAAAATATATTAGTGTAGAAAATATTAGTGCTGATTGCAGCTGTTTAAGTATTCACTGAGTTGTTTAACTGAAAGAAAGAACTTGCAGACTCCTATTCCGTGGACTGACATCAAAGCCACTTTAGTCTATGACGTCATCGTCACCGAGGAGACAGAACAACAAACCTTTTTTTTTTTTTTTTTTTTAATTGAGCTATGTAGTTATGGAAACGCAAAGTTTACTCCACATACCTGGACTAAATTTATTTGCTGACTGTACCCTTGCTGTATTTCAGCGAATACCTCATCCTCATTTCATGTACTTAGAAATAAATGATCGAACTTTCTGAAAACAGCTACATTACGGCATTTCTGAACACGTGGAAGCAAAAGCTTCATAGTGACTTGTTTATGAACAAGTCAGTATGTATAAGTATAACACTAAGTATACTTAGAGCAGGCCGTGGCATTGTAGGGCCCGCGGGTCACATCCGGCCCCCTGGCTCTCCCTGAACGGCCCGCGGGTCACATCCTGCCCCCTGGCTCTCCCTGAACGGCCCGCGGGTCACATCCTGCCCTCCGGCTCTCCCTGAACGACCCGCATGAAGTCATTGGTAAATTAAGTCAGTGTAAATATATTACAGTAATAGGTGCATGCAATACAACTGCACTCTTTATTTTGAAGGAACTGCTAAATTAACGTTTTTTCTCATGTGACTTTACGCCCCGTGATGTGAATGTGTTGGGCTGCTAGCTTTAGGCCTGAAAGATGTCAGCTAGCGTGAAGAAAGAGAGATTGATTCAGAATGCAGTTTTTAAAAAGGCACGGACTTCCAAGTATTTATTTACTAAAGTCAAAGGTAAAGCTGTGTGCCTAGTTTGTGGAGAACAGATATCGGTGTTTAATGATTATAACTTGAATCGCCATCACCAGACGAAACGCCGAACAGTAGAAAAACCTGACCGATGCGGAACGGGCACGGATGTCTGAATCTTTGCTAGCTAAACTGCAAAAGCAGCAAGGATTTTTTTTTTT